CGGTCTCGAGATGAAAAATCGGTACAGACGAACACACAGACACAGACACACACACACAGACAACCTATCGTCAATATGCGTTTTCTGCATTGCATAGCTGCAAAAAACGCATAATAACGGAACTCGGAAAACCTAATACTGCCGGAGTGCACAGTAAAAATCGCCCAAAAAAGCATCTTTCATAAGGAGTCTTAGATCTGACTGTTAAAAATTTGATGTGTTCTTATCAGTGTTTTGTTACCATGCGACGGTGACAACAAAGCCAACTGACTTAAACAGAACAAGTAGAAATAATCATCAAATTATGACGAATTTTAAAGCAAAATAAGCAGCCAAGGGCGGCAATCACTTAAATGACAATCGTTCAATTACCTGCGCCGAGAGTATCGAGAATGAGATCTGGCGACAGCACAGCCTGCTCTGCAATCAGTGCGATACAAGATAAGGCAAGCCTGCAAGTGATAAACCACCAATTCAGTGAATAAGCAACAACAACCACTAATTATCCTGTCAAATCAAAAGCTACGTATATTATTGGCTGAGAACAGTGCCCCGTTCTATGCCAGAATGTGTTGCCTTGATCTGAAAATGAAGGCTTCCACACATCCCGGTGTTTGAGCATCTAAAAATCGAACTGAGAACATCCCTATATATATTGGCATACAGCTAAATGTGTAAATTTGATTTGCCGCGATGCTGGGACAGAACGTACTCGTCTTCGCCGGTTTTTGATTTTCCTGGAAAAACTGGAAGATAAGTGCGAGCAATCGCACTGACAGTCCGTAGAATATTTCTTGGAAAAAGTGAATCCGAACGACCACTGCCTGCCATCCTGGATGCCACAATATCTCGAGCAGCGGTGACCTGTTCGCTGTTATACCTGAGCATCAGCCCGCTCAGTTTCAACGCTTCAGTACGCTCAGCAGCGTTATCAACATTCAGCTCCAGAGACCTGGAATTCTGGCGCAGGAATTAGTATAATCTGAGGACGTCTGAGAAAAAAAAACATTTTCAGAAATCGTACCATTAATTCGGGTTATGACGGCCACAATCTTTAAAAGATGATCGTCCAAGCCTTCCACATATTTGTCTTCTATGAAAGACCGAGGCATAAGGTGCAGGTGCCAACAAAAATCACATGCTGATAAGGCTTTAAACGACTCCCTTTTCCGAAGGTTGCTTGGAAACAAGCCAATGGTAGGTTCGACTCTCTCGCAAGCCAGTATTAAATGACCATCGAAAAAAATGAACGAGTAGCAGAGAGACTAGCTGTACTGGGGTTGGAGCCAGATTTCAATATTTGGCATGAAAATGTATTCTGTATTTTTATTTATCTTTGAAATTTCACAACTGTGATTGACGGGTATGGCGCTACTAGCCATAGCGCCATACCCACCAATCACAGTTGTGAAATTTCAAAAATAAAAAAAAATAAGAATATAGAATATATTTAATTTCATTACTTTTTGCATAAAATTCCAAAAAAATGGAAACGAATTCCAAAATTTCATTTTATTATACTTCCTCTGAGAAGTAAGGACATTCCAGGGTGGACCAATTGACAGCACTTTGACCCTCTCTATCAAACTAATACCTGTTCAGCGGTTTTATTTTCCAAAACCAACGAGAAATAAACGCCAAAACACCCCAGCATTTTTACTAGCAGCCGAGAGGGCAGTCACATTCTTTATCATTGTTAATTTTCATTTCTTTTTAAAAAGCCAAACCTTATCACAATAAAAAAGTCATTTTTTTCTATTATTTTCATCTTTCACGCCCTGTTCCGCCTGATCTTACAGCAAAAATTATAATAAGTGCCATCCAAAATAATCATATTTATTCAACGAAAAGGACATTAGACTGCTTGGCCAATCCACTAATTTGAATCGATGGAGTGACAAAGGGCAAGAAAAGCACAAGATTGCATTCGAAAGAAAAGTTTCTGTACGAAGGGGAATTAGACTAAGGATTAACAGCTGTCTACAGCATTCCAAGTACAACCAGAAACAGAACCTTGTTATAAAAATATCGATATACATAGACAACAGTATCGATAAATCAGACGGCAGACGAGAAGCTTTTCGAAGAATTCGATAACTGACTGCTCGGATTGAGCTTGCATCCGACAATACGTATCGCCCAACCCTAAACGCAGAAAAAACATATTTTTCTCATTCTTTATACTTTTTTGCATATTTATACAGATGCAAAAATACATATTGGCAAAAGGTTGTCTCCCATTTTGTCACCCACTTTCGACTTAACAATCAAAACAGCTAGCAAGCTGGAAGTTTTGGAGTAATTCCAACTCCATGTGCGACCCTCCGCTTTTATACTATCATTCACGAGCCCTTGGGTCTCAAATGTGGAGTTCTAAAAGATGCG